ATATATATATATATATATATATATATAATAGGAGAGGAAAAAATGCCACATGTCATCACCAGAAAAATAGATTTTTTAAAATTATTAAATAATAGGATTAAATATTAAATTACTATTTTATTTTCTGTAATTATTTTAAATAATAAATAACAATTTTAAAAACAAATTTAAGAACAATTATTGAATATTATTAAAATTATTTTAAAATCTAAAATTACAAAATTTTTTTGCAAACACTACAAAAATAATGAAAAATTCAGAAAGAAATTTTCACAGCTTTAAAAATAAGACCATTTCAAAAAATATATATAAGATAAATTATTAGAACTATTTATTGAATAATACACGGTTAGACAGTTATTACAAACAATAATTACTATCTTTCATATTATTTTTTAATCTTTAAAAAATAAAATAAAAAGAAATTCAAAAATGTAAGATTTTCTTGATACATTCTAAAATAATTTTAAAAATAAGACAATTTCAAAATAATAATAATTTATAAGTTAAATTATTAGAATTATTTTTTGAATAATACACAATTATTAAAAATAATAATTACTACTTTTCTGTATTTTTAAAATCTTTTAAAAATTTAAACAAAAGAAACACAAAAATATAAGATTTTTTAAAAAGTAAACTAATTTATGCACGTTCCTATCCCCTTATTCAAGAACTAAGTAAGAAATATACATAAACTTAACTCCTCCGTTCTCCTTTTTTATTTATGAAAATAGCCTAAATAATTAATTTAAAATTCAAATTTTAAAAGATGGATAACTAATCTTATCTATAAATTATACAACCCACGTTTTTAGGAAAAAAACTACCCTTAACAGTTAACTCCATCTTTTTAAAAACCTATTCACACCATAATTTTCTTATTGTCTTATCTTTATTCAACCTCTTAACATGATAACTTTTCTTACTTTTCATGGTGCTATTTCAGATCTTATAATTTCTTTTATAATAGATCCTTTGTTTCTGCGAACGAGTCTGTCTTTATGATTTGAAATGATGAGTTATATACATATAGTCCAAATTAGGATGGGGAAATCCTTACCAAGTCAGAATGTGGTGCATACCCAACGAATTTGGATTGATGTTGGTTCTCTTTTTATTTTCTTAAGCAAATTGCACATATATTCTTCTTCTTTATTCACAATTTAGAATTATTATTATTCAATTTAGATTTTAGTATTTAAATTGTTATTAAGTAGTTAATTATTCTATCCAAATTAGCATAGAATTTACAAGCGGATCGAGGAATGAAGGGAGAGGAATTTTAATAGTGTATTATGTCTATTTTACTTCATTTTTTATGAACTAATAAATGTGTTTGTATTTGACGCATTCGTTCAGGTGGGAGAAAATATGAAATACGATTATATTGAAAATGTTGTTTTTCTATTTTAAATTTTATGCAGAAATTTTTTTCGGCTTCAAATTTGATATGCACATAAAGGTAACTTATCAAACTTAAGAAAAACTTTAATTTTAATAAAATGATAGCATAATATCATTTATGGATTGTACTCTATTAATTAAGTTAAAGTAATTTTTCTCTTTTTTTTTCTTTCTAATTATATGGTGATTATATATATGTATATAAAGCTGGAAAGAAGAGATGTAGATTTGATATCAAATACACGAGTAAATATTTTGTTGTAAAGCGAGAACACACAAACAAGAGGAAATTAATGAAGAGTAAATGAAAAAATTGGTCAAGAATTCTTAAAACAAGACCTACTTTTGAATTTTCAATACAATTGAGAAAATGGACTACATGAAAACTTCAACAAAAAAATTACTGCATTTTGTTTGGTTCAATTTACAGACATTTGAATTCATAAATATGGATGACCTAATTAATTCATGCAAATTTATTTGATTAATTTACAAATTGTACACGTTAAAAAAAATCAGCGGGTGTGTGTAATGTCATTTTCTAAATTTATTTTCTTAGTTCTAATATGGTTTGAGTTAAGTTTTACATTTTCATTATTTTTTAAGTTTTGCATTTTCATAATACCATTTCTTAGTACTTTTAATAAAGTACTGTGAATGAGTAAATAGTGGATGATTAACAATACCAAAAATATTAAAATGAAATGTTTTAGAATTTAGCCCAAAAATTATAAATATGTAACTCTGAATCTGATAAAATTTACTCTAATTAGTTTTAAAAAGAGGTACAACAAAATAAATGTCATAATAGAATATTGCAAAAATTAACTGTACATTGTAAATTATATATTTTATTAGATTATTTGTATAATATGTAAAGTGAAATTAGTTTATACTACCTTAACTTATGATGTATTTACGTGGACTTTAACTGAAGATTACATATAAGAATTTCTATGCATATTTTCATTCATTATATACACTATTGTTTTATGCGTATTAAATAATTTTAAAATTATTATTAAAAATTAAAAAATTAAAATAATGAAAATCGAAGGAATAGAACGAAAGAGAGCATAAATAAATAAAGTTCTAAATCAAAAGAAAATTATATACTTATCAATATCGAAAGGGAAGTTATAGTTAACATTCTGGAGTCAAGTGACAAAATAATAAAAGGTCTGAATTTTATATTAAATAATGAAAGAATCAAAGGAATAGAACGAAAGAGAGCATAAATAAATAAAGTTCTAAATCAAAAGAAAATTATATACTTATCAATATCGAAAGGGAAGTTATAGTTAACATTCTGGAGTCAAGTGACAAAATAATAAAAGGTCTGAATTTTATTGATTTTAAATTAATATAGCGACATTAGGTGATAGTATTTAGTTGTGAATCTATATATTTGTATGTATTAAAAAATTTAATTTAGACAAACATAAAAATTGCTTTAAAAATATTAATTTCGACGAACTCATATCTGTTTTAGTTTGCTTGTGATAAACTAGGTATATTTTTTTTTGAACAGTGGTATTATCTACGTTATGGTAAACAAAGAGTAATTACATGTTTGGCAAAGAGACTAAAAATACTTATTTTTAAAAATACTTTTAATAAAATAGCTTTTCAGAAAAATGCTTTTGAAAAAATAATAATATTTGTATTTGACTAAATTCATTCGAAAATTATTTTTGTTTGTTTGGTTGATATTTTAAAAAAAAGTATATTTGTGAGACAAATTACAAAAAAAACATGTATCAATATACTTTTAATATTAAAATCATTTTACAGAGACAAATTATTTTAAATATCTATTATAAAAAATAATTTTATTCAAAATTAAATTTTTTATTTAAATAGAAAGTACATATCCTAAATTTTGATGAATATTATACATAGATTAATCAAATAAAATATTATATATTGATATAATATCATCATGCTGATTTTATATAACAAGAAATATCAAATAAAATAAATTAAAGAGTTATTCTACATATTAAATCATAAAATAATAACAAATAACATAAAAAATAATAATAAAGATTTTTAAAATATAAAATGAAGGATACGTACAATTCTAAAATGAAACTAAATTAAACGTATGAGATATGCTAATTAAATTAACAAGGGATATATTGATAAATATGTATAAATGATAGGAATACTTTTATCTTGATTTCATTTTTTTGCTTATGCTTTTGAATTTTTTAAGAAGGAGAAACTTTTAAGTTCTTCCCAATCACAAAAAAATAAATTTTCTTCTATTTAAAAGTAGTTTTACAAATTGTACAATTTTTTATTTTTAAAAAGAAGTAATTTTGACTTTTAAGCGCTTGGCCAAACAAATTCTCAATCAAATGACAAACTAATACAAAAACCTTCTAC